CTCATTTAGCTATTTAAGGAGTACTTACCAGATATTTTGTTATGAAATATAAGTGGAGATATTAGAGATTAAATCGAATGATATAACGTTTATCTTCAGGCTCAAAAGAGTCCATCAAATGTAAAACAAATAACATAGGCAGCATTGATAAATGGCTGATGAAAAATTTATTAAATATCTATGTGTGACGTACATTTGCTATTATGTTGAAAGAGTTTGTATATAATTGTATTTAGTAAGAAAAGAATACGAGAATAATTAATATATTGCATTTTCTAGTTTATCAAAAGGCAAGTATATGATTAAACAATGCCGAAGTTGAGTCGTAGCCAGAGTAATGCATTCGACTTTGTTTACATTATCATTAAAGCCATTTTTTTTCAAATAAAGTTTAACAACGAATAAAATATCCCAATTTCGTTTGTCTTCCATTCATCGTCACCCAGTCACGCCGACGGAAATTAAGTAGGTGACATAAAAATTCAGCAGAATAGTTGAAAGTTTGGACAACTACATTTAGAATCCTTCGTTATAACTTGCGATGTGGCGTTTGATGTAAGCCACTTCGAAAGCCAATTACTATTTGTACTTGTAAAACAAACCGTCGTGGCACGGGACGATCTGCGTGGCTTTGTCGAGTAATATGAAAGTTGGACTCGATGGGTTTTCGTAGCCCTATAACTCGATGGCGTTGAAACTCCACCCACAAAACCTGAAGTAATTGCAAGTTGTGACGCTGCAGATAAGAGATATAAATGGCTGTAATGACCTCATTTCATTGGCCTATTAATTGAAAATTTAAAGTTCAAACTATTCATGCTACCAAAAGCTTTCTTGTTTATTTCTCTATTATATTCCAAAAATGGAAATAATTTCCCAACATGGAAATAGCATTTCCTGGGGTCTGGTTTTGGAAGACTGTGGTTTTCCTGTCGTGTACCCTTTTGTAAATGGCTGTTGCATCTGTAATTTGAAATTCACAACTTACTGGAATATGAATTTCCACAGTGGAGCTTCGAAATATTACACGTAAAATGGATTGATTCACAATAACGTACCATTCCTTCTTTGTTTTGTTTTAGTTTTAGCCTTCACAAAAACGAACAGTCACAAAAGGATGAAGTATGAAAAAGTACGACAGTGCGTGTACATTTGCTTTATATTTTTCTTATGATATATTTGTACATGAGTTCCTCCCTAACAAAAGAACAAAAAATCATTTCTAAAAAAAAGGAAAAAAAAACACGATTGTATTACAAGACGCCTCTTGTAATTGAAGCAAAGTTGATATTTTGTATGATTAAAATTTACATGTGTGCTTAGGAGGAGGGATGACTGTCAGGGAGTAACTACTGCGGGTCTGTTTGGGTATGACACCCCCCCCCCTTCTAATCCTCAAATATTGCAGTCCTGTAGAGCATACGAGTAGGTCTGGATCAAGCAGATTCCGAAACTAAAGAATAGATTAACAGGGGAGTTTTGTCCTCTTTTAGGGTTTTCAGGTTTACTTATATTTGTGTCTCTTTGAACAAATTCTAACTCTCTTTTGTTCTATTCCAACAGCAATATTTAGATGAAAGAAGACGAAAGAAATAACAAGAAGACGATTCAGTGCTGGCTCTCGTCGATCACACTCTCTTCCTAGCTTTCTGTTCTCTCTCTTTCTCTATCTCTCTCTCTCTTGTTAAACGTGACCGCCACGAAGCCCATGGTTGGATTAATGAACGCAAACTCCTGGAAGACAGGCGAAAAGTTCCCGCCAACTCCCTTCTTCCACTCGACAATCTTTGCTTCCAGAGGTGATAAGTTCCAAATGCCCGGACCGCTACCATTCAAGAACCAGAGTTCAAGAGCTCACATACAGATATCGCTCTGTAAGTGCAATGCGTCTACCTGGGTGCACCTGTTCGAATTATACTTGCCCAATAGTGTCTTCATCCCATCGCGTGAGACCTACTAGATTGCCTGCAACAGTACCTGATGTACTAGCAGTGACTAGAACCTTGAACATTTTTTATAACGCTGCGACTGCGCAACTACCATTCTTCTGCTCTTATTTAACTTTCTTAGATATCTTTAGAACACCTTGCTTTTAAATATATATCTAAAGCAAAATAGTGAGATATATCCTTGGCTTTTCTGTCTTCATAAGGATAGCATCCTTCCCTTGTTGAGAGAATATGTTCATCAAGTGCCTTCATTCTCTCCATTATGTTTCCCATCCTTCTTACGTTGTTTTATGTATTCTGGTCTTTTTTCACTGTTAATGGCTGCACTCTCATCGATTCAGTTTCCTTTATATTCAGAGATTAAATATATGTGTACCTTTAGCGGATATTGATTCACAGCCGTAGATGGGAGTGTAGTCATTCTTTATGTTCTTAACCAATGCTGATCCGCCCGTGGAAGAATGAACAGGTAGTAGACTGCTGAGTTTGTCAAGCTAAACCTGTTGCATACTATTCATATTTTCCTTCATAGGATATTGAATAAGGTTGTT